AAAAAAAAAAAAAAAAAAGGAAGAGGGAGAAGAGACGGAGGGAGGGCCAGATGCTGTGGCTGAAGCCTTCTGCGGGGCGGGGCGCGGAGGGAACTTGCTGGGGCGCGCTGAACCTCCTCACTGAGCTGGGGCCCCCAGCTGCTCAGGACCCCAGGAGCCACAGGCAGCCCCACCCAGTCAGCCAAGGGCCGGGCGCTGCAGCTGGGGATGCATTGTGAAGTGGCCCTGCTTACTGCAGGGGGGCCGGAGGGCAGAGGTGGGGCGGGCGGGGTCCGGGGCTGCTCCGCTCCCCCCTGGGCCTCCCCCCACCATGGGCAGCGCCTACCACTGGGAGGCCCGGCGCCGGCAGATGGCTCTGGACCGCAGGCAGAGGCTGCTGGTCCAGCAAGAGCAGCAGCAGCAGCAGGTGCAGGGGGTGGCCAGGCCCGAGCGGGGACAGGGAGGGGGACAAGACCAGCCTGGCGGGGGTGGGGAGCCGCCTGCAGCCCGGGGGGCCGGCCGCTTGGCCGCTTGGCTGGGTTCTCCCAGAGAGGCTGAATTTATTGTTCCGCTGCTGGGGATGGAACCCACAGCCTCACACAGAAGGCCCCGCCCCGCCCACACCGGGCTGAGGCTGCACTGGCCCTGCTGTCCCTCCCTCACCATCAGTGGCCACCAGCTGTGTGCTGAGGAGCCCTTCAGTGTGGGTGCCAAGAGGGAGGCGCTGAATTTTATTTTTATATACATTTGAATATAAAATTAGAGCCAATATTCAGTTGACATATTTGACACGTTTGAAGTACTTTTGCCACAATTTGGGTATAGGAATCTACTTTTTCAACTGTAAATTATATGAAATTTACATACAGACAAAATATTGTTGATAAAGCTGGTGCCTCTAATGCTAGCTACACAAGGAGGCTGAAGCAGGAGGATAACAACATGGAGGCCAGCCTGGGCACCTGAGCGACAAGCTGTCTTGAAATTAAAAAAAATACAGAGCTGGGAGTGCCCCTTAACGGTACAGCCCCCCTGGCTCATTCCCTAGTAATGCAAAAAAAACTGTGGGGCACGGTACGGGGGTGGGGTACTGAGGATTGAACCCAGGGCCTTTCTACTAAGCTACATCTCCAGCCCTTTAATTTTTTTTTTTACACCTGGCATGGTGGCACAAACCTGTAACCCCTGCACTTGGAGGCTAAGGCAGAAGGCTCTTTGAGATTTTGAATGCCAGTCAAGGCTACATAGTGAGGTCAAAGCCAACCTGAGCTACATAGTGAGAACAACAAATTTTTTTTTAAATTTTGAGGCATAGTCTTGAATCACTAAGCTTGTGATCCCCCTGCCTCTGCCTTCCAGAGTGCTGGGGTCACAGTGCAGGACACGACACCTGGCTGAGTGTCCAGTAAGGATACACTGTCAGTGTAAAAACGCACGCCAGGCTTTGAAGACATAGTATGAAAACAAAAGCCCACCAGGCATGGTGGCGCACGCCTGTAATCCCAGTACCCTGGAGGCTGAGGCAGGAGGATAGTTGGGAGTTCGAGGCCAGCCTGGGCTACAAAGTGAGTTCAAGGCCAGCCTGAACCGCATAGCGAGACCCTGTCTCGAAAAGATTAAAAAAAAAACCAGAAAATATCAGTTACTGCTTTTGTATGATCAGTGTTGGATGACTGGTTAGATCAGACACGTGACGGCTCACCTTGTGAGTCTGGTGTCCCCGTGGCTGTCAGCAAACTCAAAGCCGCTCCTGGGGCCGAGCAGCCCCGCCAACCCTCGGTGCTGGGGCTCTGGGCACTGCGCTCAGCACCCTGCTCCAAATCAGGATGCAGGTGCAGGTACCCCAAAAGTGCCGCTCCTGGGCAGGGGCTCCGGGGCGTAGAGACAGCCCGGGCAGGCTCAGCCACCGCCCCTGTCCTCGGCCTGAGGTGACAGGCGGGAGGCAGGAGGTGACGCTTGGGGGGCTTTTTGCCAGGAACTGCAGAAAGACCGAAAGGAGGACCGTCACCCCGAGCAGAGACCCCCGCCACCACCAGAGCCCAAGGAGCAGCCACCGCCGCCACCAGCCCAGCCGCCCCCGCCCCCGCCAGGGGGCCAGGGCACCCTGCCGCAGTGCTCCCTGAGGCCCAGCCCTGGGCCGGGGCAGCCCCCGGGCGTGGACTGCAGACTCCAAGCCTGGCCGCCCATCCTTCCTGGACCCGGACCCGGTTAGTGGGATCTGGGGCGGAGGGGTGAGGACAGCACCCCGCTCTCTGCCCAGCCCTGCCCCACCTGTGCCTCCTGTAGGGGTGAGCTGCTACGAAGCCCCCAGGGTGAGGGGGTTCAGGGCTGGGACGGGGCCCCTGGCTGGGCTCTCAGCTGTGGGACTCATCTGTCCCCCCGCCCCCGGGCAGCCACTCCCTGGCCCCTGCCCGCAGCAGCGCCGCCCGTGCTCTTGGGCCACTGGTGTGTTTCTGTCCCCAGGCTCCACAAACCCGTGCCAGCCTGGCCCTGCCAAAGGGACCAAGTATACACGCCTCACGGTGAGCAGGGCTGTGGCCGGTGTGTATGTGCGTGTGTGTGCGTGTCTGTGCGTGTGTGTCTGGCCGCTGCCCCTTGGCCTTGAATTTAGGCTGCTCTGGCCTCCCATGCAGTGGGGACCCCAGGTATACGCCACCACACCTGGCAGCATAGTAACTATTTTTTACAGTATTGGAGATTGAACCCACGTTCTTGGCACTGAGCTATGCCTCCTCTACTCCCCCATTTTTTAAAACTTTGAAACAGGGTCACGCTAAGTCACTGAATTACCCAGGCTGGGCTTGAACTTGGGGTCCTCCTGCCTCAGCCTCCCAGAGGCTAGCAACTTAATGAGTATCTAAGGTGGTGCGAGCTTTGGAGAGGTCCAGGTTGCAGGGCCCCTTGTCCTGTGTGAGGCTCTTCTGCGTGGGACTTTTGGGGAGGCGTAGGATGCAGTCTCGCTACTCTCTGGCCCTTGGCCTCTGGGGCTTCAGCAGGCCCAGAAGGCAGGGGTGGAGATGCTGACCCAGTTGGTTCCTGTCCCTCCCTTTTCTCAGTCAATTGATTACCTCCAGCAGTGGTGACCCAGACCTGGACGGCGGGACCCCTGGGACTGCGCCGAGAACAGACCAGCAGCCTCGCCTCTGACCACCGCCAGGGGGCGCAAGGGAGCCCTCGTGCTAGGAAGCGCGGGCTGCAGTAAAGCACAGCTCCTGGAGTCCTGCCTCGCCAGCTTTGTGGGGCGAGGGAGCCGAGCCGAGGAGGCCATTCCATGCTTTCTTGCCTTTATGAGACAGTCTCTCGCTATGCAGTTCAGGCTGGCCTTGAGCTCACTTTGAAGCCCAGGCAGGTCTGGAACTTGCAGCAATCCTCCTGCCTCAGCCTCTGGAGTGCTGGGATTACAGGTGTGCGCCACCATGCCCAGCTTTTTTTTTTTTCTCACTATGTAGCCCAGGCTTGCCTTGAACTCCCAGCAATCCTCCTGCCTCAGCCTCTCCAGTGCTGGGATCACTGGAGTACAACATGGACACCCAGCAACTCCATGCTTTTGAGGCAGAGCCAGCAGTGAAGTCAGCCCTGGGCCTCCCGACTCTGCACTGCCTGCTGCTGCCCTTGTTTGGCAGCCAGAGCGGCTGGGGCTCCTGACAGTTACTGGGAGGTCACCCCTTCCCCAGGCCTATGCCGCTGGCCAAGGTCCTGTCAGGGGGGCCGTGTCACACCTGAGCAGGCCTGGGCAGCCACAGAGGCAGCTGGCGGCAGGGAAGAGGACAAGGCAGCTTGCACACAACCCAGGCCCCTGCTACAGCCCAGGCCCCGCCTTCCTGGCCCCCAGTTCCTCCGCCCAGCAGAGACCGGAGGTTCCCGAGCTCCAGCAGCCCAGGCAGAGGTGACAGAGCCAGGGGACCTGGGTCCTTTCTTCCTCCACCCTGCGAAGGGCGGCCCTGTCACTGCAGTCAGGACCCAGGTCCGGGGCACCACAGGGGTCTCCTGAGAGGAGCTGGGTGCCAGGGAGGGTGGCAGCATGCACGTCTGGAAGCCACTGCTCAGAAGCCAGGACAGCAGGGTATTCATAGGCAGCACTCTGGGAGGCTGAGGCAGGAGGATGGCAAATTCAGTCTGAGCAACTTAGTGAGATCCTGTCTCAAAATTTTTAAAAAAGGGCTGGGACCAGCACTCAGGGTGAAGGCCCGGGGTTCGTGCCTGTTCAGTGGGGGGGATGCCAGGCTTTGCTTAGGCTCAGAGCCTCGATGCCCACCAGACAGCAGCGAACAGGCTGTGAGATGCGAGTGAGCCCGGCGCCCTCCCCCGGCGGCTTCCTTCCAGACGCTGCTCATGTGGTTTATTGACTACAAACCCTTGACATGCGGTGACCCCCACACGGCCCTCCGGCCTCTCCGACTCCTCCCTCCCTGCGTAGGCCGGCTGTCACCCACGTTGGCCGCCACCTCCCCCATCCGCCGGCAAAGCCGTCCCCACCCATGAGTGACGCGGACCACGTGGACTTCAGGAGCAGTTTTCCTCCCTGCTGTACAGAGGCCCAGTGGGAGCGGGGTTCTCGGGGTTCAGCTCCAGCTGAGCGGCAGGAAGAGCCAGGTTTGGCAAAGGAAGGACCGCAGAGGCCTCTGGGAGTGGAGCTGAGCCCTGGCCCGGGCTGCTGCCTGTGTCCGGCGCTCGAATGCCCCCGTCCAGCTGCTGTGCTCGGGCCCTGCTGTGCTGCAGACCCAGCTCCTCTCCCCACGGCTGGGCTCCTGCGGGGTGGAGGCTGCGAACCGTTCTCTAGGGAGGGGATGGTTAGGTGCACACACTGGTCCCGAGGGGCCAGGGACAGTCACCATCCGGGAAGAAAGACAGAGGGCCACGGGGCCGGTGGGCAAAACCCCGGCCAGCGGGTCGCACTGCGCCTTGCTGTGTGACTACAGCAGAGCAGCTGCAGCGGCCACAGGGACACACTGGACGTCCCCAGGTCATATCACTCAACAGAGACCTCGAAAAGGGTCCAGGGTTTAAAGGGCTGGACACCGTGGTCACCATGGAAGGGTCCTGGCCCTGGTGGACTGCAGGGAGGCACAGGGGGCAGAGGGGGCAGAGGGGACAGAGGGGGCAGAGGGGACAGAGGGGACAGAGGGGGCAGAGGGGACAGAGGGGGCGGGGCCCTTCAGGCAGCCCCCACATGGGGCCGGGTGCCTCTGCGCAAGGCAGGCCGAGGTTGGGATCTGGTGCCTGCTGCCGGAAAGAATCAGATGGGACAGGATGGCGGACAGCGTGCAGGAAGCAGTGGGGCGCAGGAGGGAAGACGCGGTCCCCTCCGTCCTCACGTGGGAGCCTTGGGGCTGCGGATCGCCAGGGCGGGGCGGCGGGGCATAGTCTTTCCCCGGCAGTCTGCGTACTCAAAGCTCTCGAAGACTCGCTCCTCCTCGTGGCCCAGGTAGGAGTAGGTCAGCGTGCCCCTGGGGAGCGCAGGGTGGGCTGGAGGAGTGGGTGGCACCCCTTCCTCTGCTTTCGGAGTCCACCCCAAAGACTCAGGGCCAAGGGCGAGGGTGCGTCCTCCCCCTCGGGACAGCCGAGGGGAGGCTGAGGCAGGAGGATTGCTGGAGTTCGAGGCCAGCCTGGGCTACACAGCAAGACTGTCTCAAAAAACCCAAACCCAAACCGAAAGAGGCGCAGTGGGAGCCGCTTACTGGATGTGCAGCAGCACGTGGTGGACCTTGATTTCCAGCCAGGTACAGATTTTGCTGCGACAGAGACGGCATGTCCCACGGAGCTCCTGGGGTCACACGAGGAGCCCCCCGGGCTCGGGTCCTCCCCCCGCCCACTGGGCCCCAGGTGCCACCTCCTGCCTGGCCTTCCGAGGCCAGCGCAGTCACCTCTGCGAAGGCCCCGAAGTTACCCAGGGAGAAGCTACCCGGCCCGGCCGCGCTCTGCTCCATCCAGGCCCCGCGCAGAGGCCGGGAGGGCGCCCGCGGCGCGGTACTCACTACGTGCTCTCTTCGGAGATCCTGCTGGCCACGGTGTAGAGCATCTGCCGGGCGAGGGGCGCGAGCTCAGCCGCCGCGGCCCTCCCCACCACCGCACCCCGCTCCCTGCGGCAGGGCTCCCCGGGGCCGGACGGCCACCTGTTCCCTGGCCAAGGGGTCGATGTGCAGCAGGAGACTTCTGGACAACTGGCCCACCACGAGGGACAGGTGCAGGACCTGGATGGTCAGCCGGGTCACGGCAATGGGCCAGTAGTTGGGGTTGGAGATGTTCAAGGTGCTCTGGGACAAAGACAAGGACTGGGTGAGGCGACCCGGCCTGCGGAGGGGGTGGCCCAATAGTGGCAGAGGTCTCCACGGGGGCCTCAGGCACACTGACCCCTCAGGGGGCCACTTTAAAACATCACATTGCATCTGCGAACGGGCTCGTGTGATCCTGGCACTCGGGAGGCTGAGGCAGGAGAACTGCTGTGAGTTCAAGGCCAGCCTGCACTACATAGGAAGACCTTGTCTCAAAATAAAAAAAAGTTACAATGAGCTGTGTGTGGTGGCTCACACCTATGCCCCAACGCTCTGGGAGGTTGAGGCAGGAGTATCAAAAATTCAAGCCCAGGCTAGGCCACTGAGTGACACCCGGGACCCTGTCTCAAAATAAAAAAAAAAAGGGCTAGCGATGTAGCTCAGCGTGAAGGCCCTGGGCTTGACCCTTACTACTGAAGAACAAGGAAAAAGAGAAGTTACACTGAGCTGCCCACTTGATGCCCGTAGTCCCAGCTACTCAGGAGGCTGAGGCAGGAGGATCACTTGAGCTCAGGACTGTGAGACCTGCCTGGGCAACACAGGGAGATCCAGGCTCCAAAACAAAAGTTGCAGGTCCTGATCGGTCTGCGCAACTCAGGCACCCCTTCCCCACGCCATTATTTATCTGGCCTGGATCTGACCTCACGCCATGTAGGGTCCCAGCCCCACACCATCTGTTCTGGGGCCCTGCTTCTCCCCAGGCGCCGGGGGCCCCCTGGGTGTCACAGGGCCGCCGGGAAGTGTGGCTGGCGGGGAGGTACCCACCGTGGCATTCAGCAGGATGTCAGCCTTGTCGAAGGCCACTGTGGAGGAGTTGAGGCCTGCAGGGTGCACGGCAACGCCCCGGGGGAACAGGAAGAAGATGATCAAGGAGGTGGTGACCAGGCACACGAGTACCGCCAGGGACACGAAGAGCTTCCTGCAGAGGCAGTGCCAGCCCGGACAAGCCTGAGCCCTGGGAAAGCTGGGGCACGGGCGGCGGCAACACGCGTACGCGTGCACGCGCGGACCACCCCGAGACGCAGCTCTGCCCACACCCCACCCCACCCCGTGCGCCCGGCCCCAGCTGAGCTCCTGTGCCCAGCCCTGCACCACTGCCCTGCAGCCCTGAGTGGCCGGCTCAGCCTCCGGATGCACTCAGCAGCAGGCACCATCGTGCATCCGATTCCAAGCGGACACGAGTTCAAGGGACAGGGCTTAGGTCTGGCGAGGGGCAGGGCCAGCACCTAATGCTGCTGCAGCGCGGGCAGGTGGCACGGTGGCTCGAGGCCAGATCTGAGGACCTGGAGGCATCTGAGTCCAGGATCACCCCAGGGCTGCTTGGGAGGTTCTGATCGGCCCCAGGGCAGGATCTACAGGTTTTCTACCTCTACTGGGTAGAGAGCAGGCGGGTCTAAGCCACACCACCACCAGGAGGGAAGCACTAGGAAAAATCACTGCCCCTAGACTGCAGCCAGGGCCCCGACCCCTTGCTGGGAGGAGCTGAAGCCAGGCACTGTCCGCTGGGATGGACCGGAGCGGCCTCAGGAATTTCCACTGCGCTCACACTGTGAAGAGGGGAATCAGCAAGGCGCACCTGTGACCTTGGGGGGTACTGGGGACAGAACCCAGGGAGTACTGAGCTGTACCCCAGCCCTTTCTTTCTGAGGCAGGATCTCAGTAAGATGCCCAGGCTGCCCTTGACCTTGATGTCCTGCCTCAGCCTCCTGAGTAGCTGCGATGACAGGTATGCACCTGGCTTTTCTGTCCCTTTTGTACTGGTGCTGGGGATCAAACCCACGGCCTCACGCACGCCAAGCGAGTGCTGCCACGGCCATCCCCAGCCCCAGCGCTTCGCAGTCTAAAGCAGGAAAGCCCTTGGAGGTGAGCAGCGGGTATGTTCCTGTCCAGTGGGCTCCGACCCAGGGGGGACAGGAGGCCTCCACACGGGAGACGAAGGGGACACGGCCCCCAAGTGCGATGCCCGTGGAACTGGGGCGCAGGGTGCTCACGTGTGCCTGGGCTTCAGCCTCTGGTCCCCGTAGGGGATGAGGGCCACCAGCTGCTTCTCCAGCTCTGTAGAGGAGAACAGCGTGAGAGGGCATGGCCGGGACGATGCTCCCTGACCTCCGCACTTCATGCCAGGCACGGGCGCCGCCTCTGTGAACCCCGCTGGCAGCTCAGCTCTGAGCTAGAGCGGGAGTGAAATCTCCAGCACAGGTGTGGAGTCTGCGAAGTGCACTAGCAAATCGAAGCCTAGCTTCTGCAGAGGTGGCCTTTAACCCTGAACTCTGAGCCCGAGTGCTGCTTGGGGAACAGCGCTGCTGGAGCTCCCTGGGGGCGCAGCTCCCCCGCGGCAGGCAGTCTGCAAGGAGCCTGGCATCCGCCCCTCCTGTTCCTCCTGGGGCTGAGGGACAGCGGCTGGGAGCAGACCCAGCCACCCCCGGGGACCAGAGCCAGCCACTCACCTCGGGGGATCCTCCCGCTGCCCTGGCAGGTAGGACAAGTCACACAGCTGCCACCAGGGGCCCCGCAGCCGGGCACACAGGTGCAGGGAGATGGGGTGCTGCTGGCATAGCGGCCCGCCGCGGCCAGGCGGGGGAAGAGCAGCCACCTGCGCTCGTCCTCGCCCGGGGAGCCCATGGCTCAGCGGGACTTTTCTTTGCAAGTGAGAAAAGAACGCAGTGAGGTGAGGCCGGACACGCCGCGGGAAGGTGGGCAGCGCCGCGCTCTAAGTGCCTACCACAAGCTAGGGGCCAAGCCGGCCGCGGAGGCGGGATTGAGAGCGCGCACGGGACTTGCAGACATGCGGCTCGCAGTACTGTACGAGGCCAATGCACCTACAGAACTGAAAAACAAAAGCGGAAGTCAGAGCGCTTGAAGGGCCTTCCCTAACTGACCGGTAGGGGGCCCCATCCTCCGGAGGGAGCTGGACAGCGCTGGCAAGGCGCACAGCCCTCTGGAAAGTCCCTCCGCCCTCCCTAGTCTTGTGATGGCTCTGGTTTTCATTGTTTTCTTTTCCTTCTTCCTTTTTTCTTTTTTTGAGACAGGGTCTCTCTATGTAGCCCAGGCTGGACCCAGACTCCAAGCAATCCTCCTGCCTCAGCCTACTGAGTGCTGGCTGGGATGGCAGGCGCGCTGGGTCTCCTCTAGCCCTGGGACAGAACTGTCTGAGAGGGGCTCCGTTCCTGGGCCTGGTGGTGCTGGCTCAACCGAGGTAGGGCTTTGCTCCCCAAGGAGGTGGCTACGGGTCCCAGGTGTCACCAAGGACCCTGGTACCTCCTTCCGGACCGGAGGGCACACTCCCTCCTCACTGGTTTCTGAGGTGGGGTGGGACGGAAGCCTGGGGGCCACAGTCCTGCCCGGCTCGTCAGACACTGGGAGGGGTCCAGGCTGAGTTTGTGCTTCCCCGCTGCACCCAGGTGGTGGGAGGGTGAGACGGGTCAGTCGAGCCACACGCAGACTTTGGGGGCCTTGTTGTTTGGCTTTGTTTTTCTTCCAGTACCAGGAATCGAACTCACAACCCTGCACTTGTCAAGTGCTGTGCCACTGAGCTAAATCCCCAGCCCCAAGGGGGGAACCTTGTTGTTTGAGGCAGGGTCTTACTCCTGAGGTTCAGACTGCCTTGAATGCTTTACGCAGCCCAGGCTGGCCTCAACTCATTGCATCCTCCTGCCTCAGCCTCCCGAGTGCTGAGATTACAGGTGTGCGCCACCATGCGCGGGACACACAGAGATCTCTGCCGCTAAATCGGAGGCAGCCTCACCTGGTCAGGGCGGGGATCCGGCTCCTCTCCGCTGCCACAGCCGGAGGGCCTGGTCAGGCGCAGCGACCGCTGAGCCTGGGGCGAACGGGCGGGGCGGTGGAAGGTGGGATTACCCCAGGCCGCAGTCCAGCACGCCCGCGCCTGGAGGCTCCAAGGGTCTCTGAGCCTGGCCTCCGGCAGACGGAGAAGAGTCCTCTGCGCGAACTCAGGGAGGGGCCGACCGACCAACAGGGCCGACTTCCGCGGAAGCGAAAGTGCGGGAGCGGTTGCTCTGCGCGCAGGGAAGCCCCGCCCCCAGCCCCGCCCCCAGGAATCCAGGTCCAGGCCAGCGGTTCAAAGAACGTTTATTTCGCTTTCTTTACACCGTGAGGGGCGCGAAGCCCCGCAGCAGCGCTCTGGAGGAGCCCGAGCCCCGCTCGCTTGGTGGCCGTGGAGTCACACTGTAAATGATCACAGCTAGACGGCCGCTCCGCGCGCCTACCGGGCGGAACATTGCTCTGCCGCCGCCTGCCTTTCCCCAAGCCCTCCTCCGGGACCCTTCGCCGCCACCCCCGCGCCAGGTGCCCGCCGGAGCTCGCTCGCCCTCCTGCGCCAGCCCCAGCCCCAGCCCCTCGCCCTGCCCGGCCGCCGAGGTCCGCTCAGATCCGCCTACTGCCCGCTCTACTGGGTAGCAGGGCCTCCCCGACATTGAGAAAAGCAGTTAACTATTAAATTGACTTCTCCCTTTAAGTAATAGGTGGGCTTTGCGTTCTCTATAGGACTTGCAAAATGGTTCACACTACCTAAGCTTTCTTCTTAAATAAAAGAACAAAATATTCAGGATCACCGCCCTGGCACCTCTCAGCAGGGCCCCAGGGACGCAGCGCCGACCCCTGCAGGGCCGCAGGGCCGCCCGCAGCTGGAGGAAGGCGCCGTCCGGGGGGCGGTCCGGGGGGCGGGCCGCGAGCCGCGCTGCGCCTTTCAGCAGCACGGGGTTGGGAGGCGCAGGGCTGGTCACAGCAGTCGGGAACGCGTGGAAACAAACTCCAAGGTTACTCTCTTGTGAAGACTGACAACAGGTATCTCCATTAAAAACATCCACGTGAACCGACGGAAAATACTCAACCTCAGTACAAGCAGAAAAAGAAAGGGGTGCCCTCCTCAACGCACTAGGGCATGGGCAGGTCCTCCAAATTCACCGAACAGCTGTCTCCCACTGCTCGTCTGACTCCCAGTCAAGTGTTGGTCTTTGATTTGCTTCAAAAAATACTGTAACAGATACTGTCTTGAAATTTCAATGAAGGGCTCTAGAGATTCATCAGATTAAAAAACAAACAAGGGCCTCCACCCCGCGCCCCGGGACAGGGCGGCGGGCACGGTCAGGCGGCCGCCGCTCAGTAGCGCTGGCTGTACCAGTCGTTGTCGCTGAGCTGCAGGAGCTCGGTCACCACCTGCAGGATGTTGCAGTTGTGCTTCTTCAGCAGCCTGAGGTTCAGCTGCCGGTCGCAGAAGCCCATTTCGAAGAGGTGAGCCATCAGCGCTGCCGTCTGCTGCTCAGAAACCACGGGCTGCGGAGAGACAAGAGACCATAGGGCACTTCCGGTGTAACTCAGGTGTTCCTGGCCAGCCGATTTCCCGTCTCCTAAATCACGCCGGGTGTCCCAGATGTGCCTGAAATGCGGGGTGGCCGGCTGTGGGGGGGGCACGACTGCCCCTGCTGCATCAGTGCTCTGCTCAGAGGCTTCAGACCAGAGAAGGCAAGGGCCCACCGGTCTGCGGGCTGCGCAGGTGCTGCGGGGGGCACTTTCGGAAGGAAGTGATCCTTAGCCAGATGAAGGAAAGACGAGCCCAAGCCTGGGGACCCAGGGGCAGCTGTGAGAGGGGGCAGCGCCTGGGCGGGCTCCACCGCCTCCTCAACGCCTCTCAGTGCCGGCTCCGCCTCAGCCCCGCGCAGGGTGTGAGGCGGCAGGACTCACTCTGGGGGTGAACGAGGCTCCGCCCAGCCCACCTGGAGTCCCAACCCTCCCAGGTGGGACGCGCAGCCCCCCCCCCCCCCCGTACCCACGAGGAAGTGCGTGAGGAGGCGTGTGGCCCGGCGAGCCAGGCCCTGGCACACTTACTCCACCCCTCGCCCACAGGCGCCCCACCCCTATTTCAGAATGGACCCGGCCCTCCCGGGTTAACCTGCCACTGACACACGGCCTGCTGTCTACTTCCCCCTAGTCACAGCCTTTAAACTGGCACACGCTGGCCACGCCGAGGCTCCCCCCCCCCACTCCATGTCCCGCTCTCCTCCCTGGCTTCCGTCTGAAACTGTTCCCACCACAGTCCCGCCCGAGCCGTCCCCTCCCCTGCTCTGTCCTCTGTGTAGTCCACACCCGAAGGATGACGTGCTCCTCAGGCGGGAGGCGGGTGTACCCGCGCATGTCTTCCCCCACTCGCCTGGCCCCGCGCCGATTCACGTCCTGCTGCCGTGCTGCGACAGCCGCGGTCGTGGAGGCTCCAGCGGTGTGCAGGTGAGCCTTGGAGAGCTAGCGCCCACACTGCAGCCCCAACCCGTCTTCCTCTCAGAGCACCGACGCTGCATTAACCCTGAGTTCTCGGCCCCGAGAGCTGTGTGTGACACAGGCTCACTGACACTGTCCACACCAAGGAGTGCGACAGCAGTCGAACAGCAGCTCCGGATGGGAGTGGTGAGGCCTGTCATCCCAGCACTCAGGAGGCTGAGGCAGGAAGATCAGCACGAGTTCAAGGCCAGCTTGGGCTACAGCAAGTTCGAGGCCAACCTGAACTGAATACTGAAGCCTGTCTCCAAAAGACAAAGAACCAGCAGCTCTATCTTTAGCTTCTGAGGAGCCCCACCCTCACTCTCACAGAGGCTGTGTAAGTTAGCATGGTTCCCACCAGCAGGGTAGGAGGCTGCTTCTCCTTGTGTCCTTGCTGACACTCACTTAAGGAATTAACAGTGTTTCGTACACTGGGTGGAACCCAGAACCTCTGCATTTTCTGAGACGGTGCCTTGCTGGGCTGCCCAGGCTGGGCTCCAACTTGCGATCCTGCTCAAGCTCCTGGAGTCCTGCGTCACAGCGTGCCACCCTCGCCTCTCCCGCTCCCCGGGTTTCACGCTGGCTTCTTCACCGCTCCACCCAGCCTGCACCGTGGCCGAAGGTGTGCTCAAGGCCAGCGTGCTCACTGTCACCTCCGCTCGCCTCTCCCCGAGCCTTACCGGGAGGTCCAGGCCCCACACCTCCCGCGCTGTCCGGTCCTTGCCGCCTGCTCCCCTCCCGGCAGAGCAGTCACCATCCGCACCCTGGTCTGGGGCCCTGGCTTGCACTATCCACACCCTGGCCCTGCGGCCCTGGTGAGCCCCATCTGTCCTCTGGTCCCTGAGGCGGCGCAATGCTGCCCTGCCCTGTTGGCACCCACCCACCCGGCGGTGCCCCCCCATTCTCTGTGGTTCCAGCAGTAGATGGGTCCTTCCATCTGCAGCAGGTCCAGCGCACACAAGGGCCTCGTCCTCCTACCCAGTGTGACTTGGCTGATGCCAGGGGCTGGGAGGCAGCAAACCTCTGTGTCAGCCAAGGAGCAAACTGAAGGCGTGCGTACTTGCCACAGCCCCAGGGCACTTGCGCTAGGCCTCGGGAGCGAGGGGCGGACCCACGGCAGGTACTGACCTGTGCAGTCACCGGGGGGCCCGAAAACAGGGCCTTGTACGCAGAAGCGGCGACGGACAGGGCGCCCTTCACCAGCCCTCCCGCGATGCTGCTCCCGTGGGGAGGCCTGTGGAGGGAAAGCCACTCTGCCTTACACGGGGGCTGGGGGCTAAACCCCGAGCCAGAGGGTTCCTGAGAGAAACCACCTGGGTAAAGGGAGAACGGGACCGTTCTCCTATCAGTTCTCTGCCTACAAATCCCGGCCTGCTGCCGGCCGGCTGTGGGCTGTGTGCGGGCCCCGGAGGCACAGCCTCCCACACAGTGCTCAGGGCCACACTCAGGCCCTCAGTCCAGTGCTCATCGCGGAGGAAGCCCCTCACAAGGAGGTGGGGGCTCTGGACTCCGAGGAGCTGGCGGGGAGCAGAGTGCACTTGGCCTCTGTGGGCACTGGGGCAGAGAAGTCCGGGTGCGCCGGGCGTGGGCAACGCACACCGACACCGTTGGCGCCCTCACTGCTGCCCAGAGCTCGGTTCAGAAGGAGCAGCACAGCCACGGCCCCGCTTCCCTGCCTGCGGACAGCTCTGCGAGCAGAGCGCGCTGGGAGGGCAGGCGCACAAGCCGTCACCTTGAGTGGTCCCAGCTCTTCTGTCTGCTGTTTGCCAGTCCTGGGCAGCCCCCGGGCTCTGAAAGCAGAAGAGCAGGTGGTTAGGGGCAGCACCCGGCGCCTGGCCCGCAGGCTGTGGGCCTCGGGAGCTCTGCGGGGCTAGCGAGCCGCGGCGTGTAGTGAGGGCGTCAGGAAGCCCTAGTTACCCTGGCACAGGGCACCAGCGCTCCAACACTTTTGGGCTGCTGCGCGGGGACCAGAAACGTCTCCGAGGGTGTACAAGCACCGTGCCATGCCAGTGCCCACTTCAAAGGCCGCGGACTCACGGTGGCTCCACACCCAAGTTCCCCCTCCCAAGTGGCGCCCACCTCCGCCAGATCCCCCCAGATTCTCAGATGGACCCTGGAGGAGCCATGGACACGGACCATGAGACCTGGAGCCGCACAGCCTGCCAGGCCCCGTTTCCAGCAAAAGGGCGGAGGGCGCTTGGGATGGCATTACCTGCTCGCATCTGCCCGGGGACAGCAGAAGCTTCTGGTGAGGTGACCAGGATGTCTGCTCCCGGGGAGCCGTACTGTGCACATGTAGAGTGCCTGCGGACGGACAGACACAACAGTGAGGACAGACAGCTGTGGCCGTGGGGACAGTCAAGCTAGCACAGCGCCGCCACATGGGCACATGGGACCCTGGTGCTCAGGGAAGGGCTGCTTCTGCTTCCCTCCTTGGCCACGATCGAGCCACGAACGTCAGCCCTGTCGTGACACTTTTTTAAGTACAGTTCTGGTGACTGACCCTAGGGTCTGCACACTGAGCTAGATCCCCAGCCCTCTGATCTTTTACCTTGAGATAAGGTTTAAATTGCCGAGTCACCTACACTGGCTCAAACTTGGCGATTCTCCTGCCTCAGCCTCCCAACCCGACAGGCATGCACCACCTGGCCTAGTCTGTCACTCCATCAACAGCCCCTGTGCCAGTGGTGTTAGTGAAGGCAAAGGCTCACTTCTGGGGAGAGTGCTGTGAGTTCTGGTCAAGACTGTAGCACTTCCCGTGGTACGGAAAGGCAGTGACGCAGACGGGTGCCAGGACGCACGTGGCTCCGTCACGCTGGGTTAATGGAGGGGTGAGCTTCTGGGCCTTTCCCCAGAAATGGAGTAAGAAGGGAAGGCCCAGCAGTGCTCGTGTTTAGTAACTGGCTCTCAGAAGTTCAAAATAAGCAGATGGACTATACTCAGAAAACTAAGGTTGCCTAAGCCAAATACTTCTTTAAATCCCAAATCTACAAACACTGGGAAATACAACTTTTATTTGTCTAAATGTGGACTTCACTACATGCAAAGTCTTTTCAGGTGCTGAGGACCACATGTAAGATCAGCCGGCTGCTCCCGCTCTGCTCCGCCCCAGCACAGGGGCTGTGACCGGTACCTGGGTGGCGCTGGCAGAAGCCCCAGCACCTCGGGGCCCGGGGGCAGCACCTCCCGAGCCTGTGAGGTCTCCAGGACGTCGCTGAGGCCGAGCTCCTGCGGCGGGCTCTCCCCTGCAGGGAGTTGTGCCCCACTTCCGGTTCTGGTCCCGGTCCCCGTGGGCTCCCGCCCGGCCTCCAGCCCCGGCTCGCCATCTGCCCCTCGGCCCGGGCCTGGCTGCGAGAGCGCGGAGCTGTACATGGAGTCTGCAAGCGGGCGGCTGGTGTCAAAGCACTCGGGAAGGATGATGATGTAGTCCTCCGAGGAGGCAGACGACTGGCTCTGCACCTCATCCCCGAGCTCCTCCTCGTCCTCAACTCCGTCCTCAGAGAGATGGGTAAGGTCCTCCTTCTCGTCTCCCAGGGGTCCATCCGGAGTCGAGGGGAAGTTCACTAAAGGACAGAAGGAACCCATCAGAAAGGAGAAGCTGGGGCTGAGAATTCAGCTTAGCGGCACAGCGCCTGCCTGGCAAGTACAAGGTCATGAGTTCAATTCCCGGTATTGGAAAAAAAACAAAACCAAAAACAAAACAGAAAAAAGCTTAAGAGCTCCTCCTGGTGCTACCCATGCTTGGGAATGCACTGTGCATCACAGAGCCAGGACGCTGTCCACTATCCCTGGACACTTTTATGCACCAGAGTTTAGACTTTTGGATTTTTTTTTTTCTCTGAGACAAGGTCTCATTACATAGTCGGGCTGGCCTCGAAATTGTGGCGATCCTCCTGCCCCAGCCTCCTGAGTGCTGGGATCCCAGGTGTGCACCTCGTGGCCGGCTCTGAGTTTCTGAGTAGTTTCTGGAGCAGACAGCATTGCTCCACCTAAGTTCGGCCTGGGGTTCCTGTTAGCCTCAGCCTGCTTCTGCCCACTCTTTCGGGCACTCACAGGAGGATCCCCCCGACAGAGCCTGGCTACCGGCTGCTCTTCGGGGGCTGCAGCTGAGGACCGAGCCTGGAAGCACAGACTAAGTCATGCTGGCGTTTCTTTGTAGGGAAAGCAGTCAGCAGGGGTGCGTGTTTGCACAGAGATCCAGCTGGAGCCCCTAATACGAACACAAACGCCCTCTGTGTGAAGGGAGCCGCGCCACCCCCAGGCAGGCACATGCAGAGCAGCACTCACGCCGAGGGGCCTTCAGTCTGCTGGGCGGGTTGTGGTCCGGGGCAGCGTCCAGGGTGAGGGAGCGGATGACGGTCTCACACACAAACTGGGTTCCGCTCAGGTCTTCCTCTGCGTCCTCCGCCGTGGTGACATTCTCAGCCTTCCTCTTTCCTGGAGCTGTGGCCTCTGGAGAGAGCATGGCACTGGGCACGGGGGGCTGGGAGCCGACACCCCTCAGCCGGCACCCACGGCCAGGAGCTGGGTCCCGAGTCGCAGCCAGTGGCTGTAGCAGGAGGTGCTCGGCTGGGGAGGGGCAGCGTGGGCAGGGCTGTGTGCAAAGGCGACAGTGCCCTGTGCAGACACGGGGCCTTACCCGCAAGTGCTTCTCGCCCCGCTCCCTCGCTCTCCTCCCGGATCTGGCCCAAGCCCGGCTTCTCCAGGACCTGACTGTCATGCGGCAGAGGAGACATGCAGGGAGTGGTATCTGGAGAATGAAGCCAGGAGACTCACCGCTGCGGCGGTGGCAGTGTGCGGGCCCACCTCCCACGGCTACACAGACCCGCCGGCCACTGGTGCTCCCTGGCCTGGGAGGCCGTGGCCACGGCACAGAACACCGAAATATAAAGGGACGAAGGGAGGGAATAGGCAGGTCCCTTTACAGCCAGAACCTTCTGGCAGAGGACAGGGTGGAGGACGATGGGGGTGCGGCTCTCCTGTCACTCCCAGGGAGAAACCCTCAGCGCCCGCTGCCGCAGGACAAAGCGGAGCCCACCAAGCACACGCCTACCCACGGGCGTGTTGTGCGGCACCCGCTCCAGCTCCTGGACGATGTTTATGTCCAACAGCTCGAAGGACAGCAGGTCCTAGGAGAGAGATGGTATGTGAGGCCGCGGTAGCCTGGCCTCCGCGCTCAGGCCTCAGGCAGCAGGGGAGACGGCACCGCCTGAAGGGTGAACATGGAGGCAGCCAGTGGGAGCAGCGGGGACACAGGCCGCACGGTGCCACAGCGGCAGCCACACCCCACTCGCCCACACGCAGGAGAGGCCCAGGAACGCTCCCCACGTGAACTGGAGTGTGAGTGTGGGAGCTGCTCTCCTGCCCCAGTGCTGCGCCCGCACCTGCGCAGTCAGGAGGTCCACAGACGGGATGTAGAGCTCCCGCTCGCTGGCTGCGCCTGCCTTCTGCGGCGCACAGGCCCCTGTCCCTTCTGTCCGTTTAGCTGCTTCACCCCGTGGGGTTTCTTCTTCAGCCAGGAGAAAGGTCTCCTACAGAGACGAGCCATTGGAACAAATTTGAGGCCTTCAACAGAACTCACCTGGCAGACCAAGGATATCTCCTCCTAAAACAAGCCAATAAACAAAAAAGCCACTGTTCAATCTCTATGCTAAAAAAAAGGCCAGGCTTGGTGACATAAACCTCTCACCCCAGCATTCTAGAAGGCTGAGGCAGGAGGGTTGCCAAGTTTAAGTTGAGCCTGGGTAACTGAGCAAGACCATCTTAAAATAAAAAAGAGCTGAGAATGTGGCTCAGTGCAAAGGCCTTGGGCCCAATCTGGGCTCAATCCCCAGTATTGCAAAAGGAGAAAGAAAAAAGCACAGGTGACAGACTCTATGACAGGAAGGCCACGGGGCCCTGAACAGCAGGGACCTCTGGGGGTACTATGTGACCCGAGCCCCTTCTCTCCCTTTGCACCACACCAGCACAACCTGGAATCTCAAGCAGACCTAAGCCTCGGGTGCCTGACCACAGACGGGGCCTCCGCCATGGAGCCGGAGGAAAGGCCTTCTCAGAACGTGTGCCTCTGCTCACTGGCAGGAGCCGAGTGACTTCCGGCTCTTGGTCTCCGCCCCCGCCCTCTCACTCTGCAGGAAACCCCCCGGGCACACTGGCCACGTCTCCACGCTCACCTCCTGCGGGCAGCTGAGGCCGGCCTCCTCGCCAGAGCCGCTCACACCATCGGTGTCACCAGGGTGCTCTGCGGGGGCGGATGGGTCCACCACGATGCTGCACCAGACCCGGGGCCCGAACTGCTGGCCGTTCTGAGCCAGGCGCCAGTGGGATGTGTAGGTCCCCTCCAGGGCTGGTGCAATGAACTCCACGGACACCACGCCCACGTGGCCGGCCTTCAGGAAGGGGACCAAGACGTCCTTCCTCTCAGCAGACGCCAGCGTCAGGTTCCCCCACATGAACTTGAGCTGCAGGGCGCAGGATAGGCAAGGCTCAGGCTGACTGCCCAGCACCAGGGTGCGGTCGGCCGGCGGGTAAGTACCTTGGTGTCCGCACTCCAGTTGACGTTGCCCGTGTTCTTCATCCTCCAGTGCTTGAGGAACCTGGTTCCCGGCTGCAGGTGAGTCCCGTCCGGCAGGTTCTCGTCCACGAAGGCCGCGCTAAAGGTTGGCAGCACCGGAGCACTGGGCCGTGAGGGGAAGCTGGGGGAGACAGAGAGACTCAGCCGCTCCCCATGGCATCATGGCTCCAGCCACAGAGGCCGGAGAGGCTGGCTGTGCCTCAGGGACGGACCTGCATACGTTCCCAAAAGGTGACCCTGAAAGAGCGCCCTCCCCACTTGTGCTTTCTCCCGACTTGCATGCAGCTAGGGGTGGAGCCCAGGGCACTGCATGCAGGGCAAGCACTGGCCGCACTGCGCCGCAGCCCAAGACCCGCCGGGAAGGGCACTCCTGAGCCAAGGTGCTGTGGAGAGGACGGCCAGCCGGCTCGGAAGCTCTCCCGATGCGGGATGGCTCTGCCCCAGACCCCAGGGGCTGCGCCGAGAGCCTGCCTGGTTTCCACGCTCCTGACCAGGAAGGCACAGAGCATGGCCAGAGTAACCCTGGACACCCTCAAGCATACTGAGGGTCAGAGAACACCAGAGGTGGGCATGAGTGTGAGGAGCATTCTGTGGACAGAACACGAGCAGCCCAGTGGGTCAGGGCCACATCTGCAGACCCACCCTGGGAGGTGGCGCCAGGAGGGCTGCTGAGCCCAGAGGTTTAACAGCAGTCTGGGCAACCTGGGCACGCCCTCTCAAAGGAAAAGCAGAAGCCACAGGCAGTCCTGAAGATCCAGCTATGCCGGCTGGACTCCGCCTGGCCGCTCACCGCAGGGTGCTGGGCTGCAGCAGGCTCTCGGGCCGGCCCAGAGGGCTCTTGGGGCTCTGAAGTCCATGGATTGAGTTCCACAGATGAATCTTCCTGTGCAGTTTAAGCTGCTTTTTAAGTTCCTTGACTTCTGCTTTCCGCTGTTTCTTCTCAGCTCGCAGTCTCTGCTTTTCTGCTTTAAGAAAGTTCTTATCGACCTGTCTCTGGAGCCTGTGAGACAGTAAACGAAGGTCTTGAAGGAAACGCAGAGCACTCACCAACAAAGTGAGGCCAAGCAGAGCCAGGGGCCGTCTCCTCCGGCTCTGCGTTTGTCTCTCACAGCTGCCACTCCCGTGCCACCACCTCCCGCCAGCGGCCTTCGTCACCGCCCGTGCCATGCGGCACCACACACCCTGCTGCTCTCTTATCCCCAACCAAGAAGCCAGTCAGAGATGAAGCCACCAAGGCTGCCACCAGGCCTTGGCTCTACCTGACTTGCTCCAGGGCAGTAGGGAGCCGAGGCGCAGCTGGCTTCGGGTGGGAAGGCGGCTCCGAGGCACTCAGAACCGGCCTCCGCAGCTTGAGCAGCACGTGGCTGGCGTCGTGGGCATAAGGGCCCGCCTCGCAGTCCTCACAGATGTTGTACGACGTGCACAGGCTGTGGGAAAAGGGGCACAGTGCGGAACACGCAGGTGACCCAGGGGAGACACCACACCTGCGCCACCCTTAGCTCGGTGGAGCCCAAGCCCGTCCCCCAACGCCCGGGCTAATGACACTCGACCCAGCCCTGGACAGCCTTGGGAGGAAGCACGACACGAGAGCCTCTGGCACAAGCAGCCGGCCCCGAGCGCTCTGCGGTGGGGAGTGCAGTTTCTGTGTGGCTCTGGGATACCCGATGTGTCTGAGCAGCAGCTTCCTCAGCTCTGGGGGAGAGTGGCCTGCTATCCCACTCCATAGCTACCGCCGCCTACTACAGTCGTTTTCCTCCCCACCTGCAATGCAGGGCCCTCCCTGCTCCCAGCCCCGCAGACAGCCGCGGCCCCCACGCCACTTACCTGCACTGGTAGCGCACGCCCACAATCCTCCTGTGGCAGCTGCTGCAAGCAATGTGCCAGCTGAAGAGATTTTCAGGTAAGAACAAGGCTTCCTCCGCAGCAGGCATGGAGGCGTCGGAGGCACAGGAGCCCAAGGACGGGTTCTGGAGGACGAGCTTCTCGTGCAACTTCTGTTCCAGCTTCTCCACTGTTTCCTTGACCACCTGCTCTCTGAACTGGACACAAAGCAGGAGGAAAACTCAGCAGCAACGCTCGGAAGAGGGGCAGACACGACAGTGGGGACCTGTGCTTCTCTGGGTCCGACCATGATAAGCCCCTAACAAGCACTGAACGAATACCCAGTAATGTGCCAAAGGCACCAGGAATCGGACTCAGGACCTTGTGCTCGCCCGGCAGGCACTGTGCCGATGAGCTACCTCCCCGACCCGGAGGGACTCTTCTATGAGCCAGTGGCTAACTTCTTCCTTCTCGAGCACACAGCTGCGCCTGCTCCAGACTCACTCTTCCTCTGCAGGCCAGGCGGTGTGAGCGCATGCACAGACCCGCCCGGGCTGCGGCCTCAAGCTTCCCCTCCCCGCCTCCTGCACCAGAGGCAGCGCTCGCTCGGCTCCTCGCCCCTACACTGCTCCTGGAACCAGCGGCAGGGGACCCTCGGGACACTCACGGTCTCCAGGTAGCTCGTGAACCAGTCTGGAGGCCTGTCCTGAGCGTGGTCCGGGTCACCCCGAGCAAGTGGAAATGGCTGCACGGAAACAAGAGAAAGAGCACAGGGGTTACATTCCCCGTTGAGGTGCATCTCCCGTCTTCCTGTGAGGAGTCTCCTGTTGGAGTGTGTAAGTGTGCGCTAACAAGTCACAGTGCCAAGCAGAACAGGAAGGCAGTGGCTCCCCCGCTCCATCCCCTCCTCCAGATAAGCACCACCCGCAGCAGCGGGGTCCCGGCTTCAGGACAGAGGCACGAAGCTGAGCGAGTCTGCGGTCACGGGCAGGAGCTGTGTGGCCAGACGCCCAGTCCGCACGAACCTGGGCTGCTGGTGTCTCCGGGCTCCTCAGCTCTGGCCCCACGACTCTCACCAGGGCGGAGTAGTGTGCAAGCGGCTTCTTGCCCGGCCTGGAAGCGCTGTGTCTCTCTGCTCCCACCAGGGTTGGGGCTTCGGCGGCCGTGGGGTGCCCTGCGTGGACTTGCATCTGAAGCTGGTGTCCCTGCTTCCCCGCCATCTGCGAGATGTGAAGACACAAGGCCACTGCCGTGGGCGGCCCGGCACCTGCGGCACTTCAGAGCCCGAGTACGAGAGGGCAGGGGACTGGGCTGGAGAGTACCAGGTTTCACCCACTGGGGATGGAGCACTAGGCTCCAGATGAGATACTTCTCAGCCCATTTCTGCTTCTGACTGTGAAACAGGTTCTGCCTGAGTTGCCCGGGCTGGGCATGAGCCCGTGGTAACCCACCTGCCCAGCCTCCCAGGGGACTGGGATGACAGGCATGCACCACCATGCACAGATACCATCTATATGAGTTGTAGTATCAATTTTCCAAAAATGTCAATGCCAGACTAACAGAACTTGAGGAACTTAAAGCTAGCTCATATAACCTTTTTTTTGGGAACCAGGAATTAAACTCAGGGCCTCACACTTGCCAGGTAGGCTATGTGCCACTGAGCTGCATCCCCAGCCCTCGCTTGTGATTAAGCATGTACTTTCCCACTAAAAGTACTAGCAAGCAAGTTAAAGCAGCCACATCTTTCTGAATAAAACCTTCCTAAAAATCCTATTTTGCAAGCTACTTCAAGAAACATTTGGGGTCTGGGGATATAGCTCAGCGGCGTAAGTGCCTGCCTTGTAAGTACGAGGTCCCGAGTTCGATTTCCAGTACAAAAAAAAAAAAAAATAGAAATATTTGGGTCCATGAAGATGTCTAAGGCTGGTCAATGGGGGTCTAGCTCTCCAGTAATCAATCACCTGCAGTTACTTTCTCTCATCTATCATTTTTCTATATTAGACTTAGAACTCCGTCTTTTTTTTTTCTCCCTTTCTTTCTCTTTGGAGACAGGGTTTTACTATGTAGCCCAGGCTGGCCTTGAACTTGTGATCCTCCTGGCTCAGCCTCCCCAGCGCTGGGATCACAAGTGTGAGCCACCATGCTGGCCCTCAGGACTCTACTTTACAGCATTCCCAGTAACCACCAGAGGAGACGGATAGGCCGGCCTGACTGTGGAAGTCACTTCACAGCACGTGCACTAACGGCATGTCGGGCAGGGGCAGAGCCAGTAGTGCCGTGCCTGCCTCAGCTGGGAGGCCCTGGGCAGACCACTGGCACTGCGGCTCAGGAAATGCCATGTACCCCAAGAGCTGGGTTTCCTGGCAGTACTAACAACTGAGCCAAGGGTTTCATGCAGGGCAGACAGCATTCTACCACTGAGCTACATCCTCAACTAGCACTTTTATGTTTGTAAAATTGAGACAGGGTCTCGCTAAGTTCCCAAGCTGGCCTCCAATTTGCAGTCCTGCCGCCTCAGGACCTGCTAGAGATGTGGGGCGCATCCTCCGCAGTGTTCAATGGAGGCGGGGTGGGGGTCGGGGTGGGGCATGAACCAGGAGAAGGGCAGCAGCGGGGAGGCTTGGGCAGGAGCAGCGTGCGGGCCATGGTGGGCCCTGCTCTGCTCATCCCTGTTTACACTTCCCAGCCCCCACAGGGCCAAACTCAACCTCTGCTTTTGCTTTGTGCAGCACTACTTGGCTATACCCTCAGCCCAAGTTTTACTCACCAAACGTTTTTTGTTTTGTTTTTTTTCCGGTACCAGGAATCGAACTCACGACCTTGCACTTGCCAGGCAGGCGCTGTGCCACTGAGCTAAATCCCCAGCCCCAACAAACATTTTTTGAATGTATTTGACAAGATGAAGTACTGTTACCTTAAGTGCTTCTTCATATTCTCCTAAAACGACAAAAAACAATGGTGACATTTCCTCACCAGCCTTAAGATTCTATTAAAAGACAATCAACCCTGAAACCTAACATATGACGTTAAGACTATAGTTAGTAATAGTGTATTGTACTCAAAATTCTTTTTGTTTTTGTAGTTCAGGCTGCACTTGAACCTGCAGCCATCCTGCCTCACCCTCTGAGTTCTGGGATTACAGGCAGGTTCATCTACACCTGACTATATTCAGAATTCCAGCTGAAGGAGTAGACCGAAAGGGCTCGTGCCAAGCGACGGGTGGGGAAGTGGGTAACTACCCCGTTTCACTTTGGTAACACTTTTCTTTGTCCTTTTGAGACAGGGTCTGGCTGTGCAGTTCAGGCTGGCCTTGAGCTCACTTTGTGGCCCATTCTGGTCTCAAACTCGCAACAACCCTCCTGCCTCAACCTCCCGAGTGCTGGGATTATCCTGCGCATCTTACACACACACTGCAAACTGTACAACCAAATGCTGCTCTGGGGAATTCTTAGCTCACAAGATTAGCAGCAACTGCTAGGCTTGGCTGACAAGCCCCCTTCTCATTCCACTGTGAACGGAAGCCCCTGCAGGTCTCCTTGAACTCTCCCTTCTGGAGATGCCGGCTGCACGCACTGGCCTCAGCTTGTTCACACCAGCCCTAGCTGCACACGGGCATGGAACGGTGGAGAGTGCAGTCCTTTCTGCTGACCGACTGCGCTTTCCGGGCCCAGCCCCAGAACCTGAGCCCCCACTAGCACAGGGCTCCTATGGGAGACTGCACTCAGTGGAGCCGGCCCAGCAGCACCCACGAGATGCCCAGGGAGTGCTGCACCCACGGATTCAGACACAGGCTCCCCACCAGAGCATGTTTGACACCCCAGGAGGCACCACAACCCACACCAAGAGTCCCCCGAAAGCCGTCCTTTTGGTCCGTTCAAAGGCACCAACCCACATCCAAAAGCCACGCGGTAAGGAGTCCCTGTGCAGCATGCTGTGCACAGGTGACGCGGCCACTAGGGGACGATGCCCAGGCAGGACACATCACACTGCTCTGAAGCAAACGCGACGCGGCCTGGGCCGGCACCCCAGGCTTCTAAGTAAAGCCGCACAGGTTCTCGCTGGTCTCACCTTGACTGTTGATGGATATCTGTAAGAGAGGAAAGCAAAGAGGGTTCTAAGGGTCCCATCCATCAAGCACTCCTGCCACCACAACCAGCCTCGCCCGGGCCCGGCTTCTCTAGTGCCCCCTGCTAGCCATGAACAATAATTAAGACGTTCTGCTGCCTACACACCGCGCCCTCCTTTACTTCAGGTGCAGTAAGGGCAGCACGACACAGCGCTGTGGATAAAGCCCACCCCTACTGTCACGCTTTCATGCCTGCGGGCCATTTCCCTCACCTCAAGGTGCCTCAGCTTCCTTGTGGGTAGAACAGCAATGATGATAATGTACCTAGCACACAGTACTGTTGTGACTCTGAATACAGGCCAGTCACTGTTGTTTTATTATTATAAATTAAGCGGCAGCTTGTGCTACATTTGAACCTAGGATCACTTCGTGACAGCCGGGCACCACCACCCTGGCCAGTTTTAAGTCACCTTGTAGGTATTCTTCAACGTTCCTCCCCTGCTTCCCAACTCAGCCTCAGCTGAATTATCAGTAACATTTCATCGTCACACACATGAGATACACAAGATGCGGAACTTCTCAAGCCCCCCGTCGGTCTGGAAAAGTAAGGAGTCTGTGCTGGCCTGGCATGGCGATGCACACCGTGGTCCCAGCACTTGGGAGGCCGACACAGGAGTATCTCTGCAAGTTCCAGATCAACGTGAACTACACGGCAAGTTCCTGTCTCAAACGAAATTTCCCAAAAAACCCCGTAGTCTGAACACCTAACAATGGGGTCCTTAATGTACCTTACCTCTTCATTCTCCTCATCCAGGTATTTTATTTGAATAGTGTTCAGATCAAAAGATACTTTCACCTGCAAATGAAATGTACATGTTATAGGATTAAAGTACCAAAAAGGAGGCCATAACATAAACCTAGAAATCAAAAAACAAAGGACATTCAGAGTTGGAGGTATAGCTCAGTGGTAGAGTGCTTGCCTGCCACACACGCGGTCCTGGGTTCAACACCCAGTACTGCCAAGAAAGAGAAAAAGGGCAGGTGTACCGGACTACATAAATAGTAAACATTCTTTTTGCTGGCATTACACTTGTAATCCCAACACTGACATTGAGTTCAAGGCCAGCTGAGCTACATAGTGAGTTCAAGGTCAACTTGGCTTGCACAGCAAGATCCTGTAAAAAGCCAAGCATGGTGGTACATGCCTGTAATCCCAAGGGAGGCTGAGACAGGACTGCCTCAGGTTTGAGGCCAGCCTGAGCTAGTGAGTTACACAGTTAGGCCAGCCTAAATTATATAGCAAGACCCTGTTTCAAAAAAAAAAAAAAAAAGATAAATGCTGCAAGTTTGCAGCTGTAGTTCAGGGGTAGAGCATTCACTTAGCTTGAGGAGACCCAGGGTTTGAGTCCCAGCACCACGGAGAATCAAAAACACTACAAAGTCAAACACCACCAACTAGGAAAAACATCTGCAATTGATAACAGAGATATCAAGATAACAAAGACAATCTGTGAAAGTGCTGGTAATAAGATTAGCAAACCAGGTAAAAATGGGCAAAAATGTACAGAAGATTCACAGAGGAGAAAATAATATTTAGCATAGAAAAAGCTCAACTTCACACGGTCAGAACAATACAAATTAAAAAAGTAAGATTAGTGCCAGGGAGATAGCTCAGCAGCACAAGTGCCTGCTTGGTGAACACAAGGTCCTGAGTTCGATTTCCAGTAACCGCCTCCCCCCAAAAAAGTAAGATCACCTCATCAGAATGGCAAACATTTTTAAAGCCTTAACTGTTGTAGGAAGCTGAGTTAGACAGAAATATTACAGGCAGTCAGACAGGGCCAGGCCCTCAAAGAAGCCAATAAGGAAGACAAGATACCTTGGTTTTTTTTTTTTTAGAGGGGTGTGGTTTTTTTCTGGTACCAGGAATCAAACTCACAACCTCATGCTTGCCGGGCAGGCGCTGTGCTGCTGAGCTAAATCCCCAGCCCCGATAAGATACCTTGTAAAGGGAGAGATAGGCACTTCCCCTTCGGGCCAGACCTCAAGACAAAAGGTGAACCCTACCCACCCACCCATACACCTCCCTAGGGAAGGACAAGAGAGATTGATATTCTAAATAGGTAGCAATCACCTTGAAGAGTCACCGACCCAACCCCTACAGGAAAAGCCCCTGATCGGTATTCATGGCCGCCTGCTAAGTGACTCTTCCCCATCTGATCCCGATGTTAACCAATTTTACCTGAACAATTCGTATTGGCTGACCACAGTTTTGTCCCACCTCATGCCCATCTTGTGATTTCCCATTTTTCCCCACCTTGGACCCACCTCACCTCATGGTTTTGCTCTATAAAAACCCCTGGAAAAGACAGGTTCCCTGGGCAACCCACTTGGGTCCCCTTCTGCCTCTCTTGGATAGAAGCTTTCTTTCCCTCAATAAATGTATTCTGCTCTTAACCTCCATTGTTCCTAAAATTCATTCTTTGATTTTAGAGAACACGAACTCATCTCACAGTTCGTTCAGGTTGGGAGTTTCTTCCCCCGTATCCTAAAGCCCACTGTTGTCGGAACTTCAGGGCCCTGACACAAGGCTTTTCAGTGACTAAAACCGTCTTGCGGATGTCCTGGCAGCTCTCTATGAAAAGCTAAGGCCTGAGCCCTGCAGGCTGACCTCACAGACAGTAGAGGACAGAGTCTGATCTGCAAAACAGCGTACAGGGACGCGTCGCTAGCTTATTTTATAGTGGTAAAAAGAAAAAAAACCAAAAATCTTTCACTATGCAAGAGTAAACTGGATCACGGTACTGCCAAGGGCAGGAACGCCATAGCTTCAGCTCGGAAGGTTGCACCTGACCCACTGCAGGCCGGAACCACGCCCGGCACGCTGTGGCCCGCAGGGAGCTGCAGTGCGGCTCTCCCCACGGGACCATGAGAGACCCAGCAGCAGGCACACAGCTGTCGGCCCTCCTCGCCCAGCAAGGTGTGCACAGCAGAGGGACACTAACTGCACACGCAGGACGTTTCTCTTCCTCAGTGGGCACACCTCACATGGTTAGCATTTCCAGCAGCGTGCTTTTAGGGGATGGGCACCTCAGTACCAGTGTCAGGGAGGCTGAGGCAGGAAGGGCACAGGCTTGAGTCGTGCCAGGGCTACACAGCAAAACCCTCACTCAAAAATCTGAACTAGCCAGGCGTGGTAAGTGCACGCCTGTAATCCCAGCACTCAAGAGGCTGAGGCACAAAGATGAAAAGTTTGAGTCACACCAGGGCACTCAGTAAGGCCCTGTCTCCAAATTTAAAAATTTTTAAAATAAAAATTATAAATAAAATTTACAATAAAAGAGAAAAATAAACTGTCAGCTCATTTAACTAGTAGGAAAAGAGAGGCTGGGATATAGCTCAGTGGTGTAGCGCCTGTCTGGCAAATACAAGGTCCTGAGTTTGATTCCTGGTGCAAAAAGGTCTGCTCTTTAAATCATCTGATGTACAAGATCCAGTTTTTTTCATTTTGAGCCTTAATTTCACTACGTGTAGCTCAGGTTGGACTTGAACTCACTGCAGCTCAGGCTGGCCTGTAACTCCTGAACCTCCTGTCTCAGCCTCCAGAGGGCTGGGACTGCAGGCGTGTGCCACAGGCCCAACAAGAACCAACTCTTTTCCGGACACCCGTCCTTCTAGGGCAGTACAGAGAGAGACTTGCTAGAGGGCCAGGGATGTAGCTCAGTGGTACAAGTGCATGCCTGGCAAGCATAAGGTCCTGAGTTCGATTCCCAGTACCAAAAAAAGTCTGCTGAGAGACTTGCTAGAAGGCAGAGAACTACGTCAGACCATCTTTTAAGGCCTCACTACCAATATTCTTCCTTTTATATTATGCTTTTTGTTGAGACAGGGTCTCACTAGCCTAGGCTGGCCTTCAATTCGCAGGGGCCTTACCACCCCAGTCTCCCAAGTGCTGGGATTACAGGCATGCACCACTTTGCCTGGCTTCTTCTTCTTTTAGTTTAAGGTCACAGAAAGCCAGGTGAAGCAGGGCGTGTGTGTCGGTGCTTGAGAATGAACTCAGGGCCTTCTCACCCCCAATTCTTTTTTATTCAGAGACAGAATCTCCCTAAGTCACTACACTGCCCAGGGTTGGGCTTGGACTTTCAATCCAATCCTCCTGCCTCAGCTTCCTAGAGCACTGGGATTACAGGTTTGTGTCACCACCCAGGGCCAGAGGCAGGTTTTTATCACAGTACCATGAGATAAACAGAGACATACATGAAGTAAAACATTCACCACAGTAAACCCAACAAAATCAGAACAGTCCAAAGGGCAAATCACGATGAGGAAAAGCATTAGCAGAAAAAGGTGGGGACAGACTGCTGTGTAAGCACCTGGCAATAAAAGCAACCCAGGGCACTTGTACAAGGCAAGTGCCACATACCCTGGGCAGCTCAGAACAGCAGAGCCTGTTTGCTGCTGGGAGAACACTCCCTGGGCCTGGCTGGGGTGGGGCCTAACCAAGCCACTCCTCAGACTGTTTCTAAAATAGGTAGGTTCTCTAAATCCCAGCTTAAAAAATAACTTTATCTTCTCTAAGCTCTTCAAAAGAAACTTCTTATCTGCTCCCTCGGGACACATCTATACACTTACTACTCTGTCAAAACCCCAGACATGGTAACTAGGACAGACCTAACAGCTGTGCAAGCTACTAAAAACAGACACCTGTGAAGAAAACATCCACACTTAAAACACAGAGAAACAAAGCACGGAAGACTCACCATAGCTTCAACGTCAGCCCAAGTCGTGTTTTCTGGGTCGGACACCAGAAAGCTTTGTGTCTCGTTTCTGAAAGTGACGTTCAGAGTGACCTGCGGGTCCATGCTGTGGGGCTAGGGTTGGGAGCACAGGGGGAGAATGGGGCATGTGAGAAAGTGTCTGTAAGTCGCATATAAACCGCATTCAACAAGCACTTGTGAGGACCCGACATGGAGAAGGCCAGGCAGACAGCAGTGAACAGAACAATGGCCCTGCTTTTACAGACATGAAATCCAGCAGGAAGCCTCACTTGTTATGTGGGAATTCTTCCTTCTAAGAAATGTATCAGTGCTCAAAGCATGCCACAAAGCACTGCACCAGGCCACAAAAACTGCTCTTCTAGAAACTAGCAAAGCAGAGTGCCGTGGCACATGCCTGCACTCCCAGCTACTTAGCACGCTGAGGCAGGAGGATCTCATGAGCCCAGGAATTCAAGGCTAGTCTGGGCATCAGTGTGAGACAGTGTCTCAAGTAAGATTAAAGAAATAAAAAAGCCTGCTGAGATTACTTTGACCACACCCACAGAAATCACCTAGCATTTGTAAAATCTTTTTTTTTTTTGGTACCGGGAATCGAACTCATGATCTTGAACCTGCCTGGCAGGCACTGTGCCACTGAGCTATATTCCTAGCCTCTGTAAAATCTCTTGAGCACTGTACCGCACTTTACAGAGCTTGGTTAATTAAGTATTTGTAACAGGAGATACCCAGATGGGTAAGATGGACTTTCATTATTGTGAGACTCCAAAGTGACAGTCTACATTTTTTCAGAAGCCTTTTCCTAACTTGAGCAATACAGGTTTTCTACTAGAGCAGCTTTAATGACTTAGAGGCCAAAACACTAACCAAGACGCTCCAAAGGTACAGGGCTCAACACCATTGTCCAAATGACTATGCTTTTGCAGTGTGCTGGTTTCTTAGGAACGAGGAATGTCAAACTTACACAAAAATGAAGAGCAATACACTTTTTTTTTTTTGGTTTTTCTCAGTACCGGGAACCGAACTCACGACCTTGCGCTTGCCAGGCAGGCGCTTTTGCCACTGAGCTAAATCCCCAGCCCCGAAAAGCAATACACTTTCTTCCTTTTTTTTTTGAGACAGGGTCTCATTATGTGGCCCAAATTGACCTGGACTCACTACATAGAGAGAGCACAGGCTGTCCTTGAATTCATAGTGACTGATCCTCCTGCCTCAGCCTCCTGAGTGTTGGGATTATAGGCGTGTACCACCATGCCCGCTCAATGCACTTCTTTTAAAAATATTTTTGGGCTGGGAATGTAGCTCAGTGGTACAGCACCTGCCTGGGAAGCATGAGGCCCTGGGTTTGACTCCCAGTATCAAAAAAAAACCCTTTTTTTCGGAGTCCAGGTTTGCAGTACCTAATGGTCACCCCGTCATGGGGGCCGGCACCTGTCTGCAGCACCGCTGAATCCGTCTAGTCCCCTCTTTTCCCTGAACTCCGAGGTGCAATGTGAGCTCAGGGCTCCACTCGGCTCACGACACCGGCACTCTCCCTTGTCTTAAGGCTGCAAGGGCCCTAGGCCCTAGCGTTTCAGCCAAACTCTTCCTCCTCTGTGTGCGCTTGGGGCTGGGGGCGGAGCCAGGTCTCCCACTGGCTAGACAAGTGCTCCACTGCTGAGGTGTGGCCCTGGCCTGTTTTCAATTTTGAGACAAATCGAAGTTGCCCAGGCTGGCCTCCAACCTGGGATCCTCCTACCTCTGCCTTCCATGCCTTGGGATCAGAGGCATGCACCACCACTCCCTAATAATATGTTATTTTTTCAAAAACTATGTGTTATGGTAAAAATTAAACATATACAAAGATGGGGAGAACATAATGAATCCCCATGGACTCCCTGGCTTCCACAATCACCAACTCAGGACAAATGTCACACCACCCTTTGCTACTGGATGAGGAAAAATTATTTTCCGGTGCTGGGGACTGAACCCAGGGCCTGGACTAAGCTAGGAAAGTCCTCTCCCACCAGCCGCGTCCCCAGCCCCTGCTGTGCTGTTTTTTGTTTGGTACTGGGGACTCAGTCTAGGGGCTGTGCACTGATCTACATCCCAGCCCTTTTTACTCTTTATTTTTGAGACAGGGTCTCTCTATGTAGTTCAGGCTGGCCTAGAACTTGCAGTGATCCTCAGCCTTCCTGAGTGTCCTTTTTATTTTCTGAGACAAGTTCTATGTTAAACAGACAATTTGGCTCAGATTTTCCCTCCTTGTACCTCAGCCTCCCAGAGCACTGGGATTATAGACATGCACCACCATGCCCAGCTCTTACTGGATTATTCTGACATGACATTCAACCTCTCACCTAAAAATAATCAAAAAGAATTTTAAAAAAAATGTTATCATTACCATACCTAAGAAGGAAAAAAATTCCTTAATCAAATATTTATTCTGGTCAAAATTTATTTTTAATTGGGGATATTGTTTACTGATGAGTTGTGTCTGTTGAATTGGCTTGCTTTTATGGCTTCACGAAAAGTAAGTCTAAACTAGACCAAAAAAAATTTTTTTTTTGAGACAGGGTCTTGCTATGCAATTCAGGCTGGCCTTGAGTTCACTATATAGCCCAGGTTGGCCCTGAACTCATGGCAATCCTCCTGCCTCAGCCTCTCGAGTGTAAGATCACAGGCATGTGCCAAATGTCAGCTTTTGAACACAATCACCAACACAATTTTAATTTGCAGCTATATACAGTCAGATTCTGCCTGAGGCACAGGAGATCACTGATAAACAGGATTAAGTCAGAGCTGGCCCGACTTGGCATTAGACACAGCCTGGGTACAACAGCAGCCACGCAGGTGAGTCAGCTCACCTCTGAGCTTTGGTCATCTCATCTGTAGAACAGGGCTACCCTTGCCTAACTTATAGTGCTATTATGTATAAAAACCAAATATAAATAGTGTACGGAACAAAGGTTATAGCTCAGTGGAACAGGGTGTGCTAGCATAAGAAAAACCATGGGTTCAAAATCTAGCACCAAAACAAAAACAAACTGTGTGCAAGTTCTTTGAAAACAGTATTCAAACACAAAGTTATTATAATAAATCAGGTCCTAATGGCTGGCGTGGTGGCATACCCCTGTAATCACAGCACTTGGGAAGCTGAGGCAGGAGGATCGTTGTGAGTTCGAGACCAGCCTGGGCTACAAAGTGAGCTCAAGGCCAGCCTGAACTGCATATCGACACCCTGTTTCAAAAAGACAAAAAAAAAAAAAAAAAAAAAAAAAAAAAAAAAAAAAAATCGGTCTTAAACTGGGCATGGTAGTGCATGGTTCAAAAAAAAAAAAAAAAATCAGTCTTTAGGACCTTAATAGTAGTTTTTCACAGTGTAATGCAGTGCTCTGTGAAACTGTCATTTTAAGGATCTTCAACTCTATGAGGATCAGACGTCATTTCAAACCTGACATTAGACTCCACTGTTTCTATCCTCTGCCTTCACCTAAGGGTAGATGCACCACGAAAATAAAGCAAGTCTATAGCACTAATTCTGCTGATAATCACTATTCATTCACATGGAATGCAATTCTTGGAGCCCTTACAACTTGGGGAAAATCCCATAGGACATTAGGGAAAAATTAGGGAAATGAAAACTGACTTTATCATTCACTGTCCAAGGTGGATAATCTAAAATACATTCTCGAGCCGGGTGTGGTAGGGCATGCCTGTAATCCCAGCACTTGGGAGGCTGAGGCAAGAGGATCCCAGCGAGTTCGAGGCCAGCCTGGGCTACACAGTGAGCTCAAGGTCAGCCTGAACTGCACAGCGAGACCCTGTCTCAAAAAGACAAATAAATAAATAAAATAAAATAAAATACATTCTCACTTTCCAATTTCAAGAAACACATTTCCACACTTTGAATGTCTGGAAGGAAGCTAATCTTCCTCTCTTTTTCTCAAGTGACACAATTAGAAATTAGTTCCTATACTTTGGAGCTCCTCCAGCTGACTTGCCCATGAGAGGAAACAGGAAGTGGGAGACTCTAGTTTAGCTAGTTTAGTCCAGATCTTCATTAAGAACTGCCCATTTCTCACTGGCTTACATGTAAAAATAATTTTTTGTTGTTGTTTTTGTGAAACGGTCTTGCTCTGTAGTTCAGGGTGGCTTTGAACTCACTGTATAGCCCAGGCTAGCCTCAAACTCAAAGCGACCCTCCTGCCTCTGCCTCCCCAGGGCTGGGTTTTCAGATGAGTGTCACCATGCCGGGCTACGTGTGAAAACCTTTGAAGGGGCGCGTTCACTTCGAGCTTGTGTAAATTCCAGCGCCACAGTTAGCCACCTCTGTGCCTTTAGGTTTAAAGCCAGCAGAGAAGTCTGGTCGCAGCGGCCTACGCCTTCAGCTTTCTTAACTGGCGCTACAGTAAACTCAGGCCACTGACTCACCTCCGCTTGGCACAGGTCAGCTTTCCCTCTACGCCGACTCTCACCCTGAGCAAATACCTTCAATGAAGCCGACCTGGGAACCCAGTTTGGATTACGGACTACAGCAGGGGCCTGAACGAGCTCTCTGGGCCTTAAAATAAGTAACCCGAAAGCCGCGTTTTTGACAGAAAGGAATAGGACAGGCAGAGGCTGTCTCTTCTCTAAAGGGGGCCCCCCCGAGGGGGAGGGGGAGGGGGAGGGGAAGACGTGTGGGCAGGCGTTTCTCTCCTCCGCTTAATCCCCGTCGGCCACTTTCCTACGACTCCCCCACCCCACGACTGTGTCACCACCCCCGAGGGCTCTCGTTTTCTTTGCCTGGGGGGATCTTGGCCTACGCCGGCGATCAGAGGCCGGACCCTCCGCAGCCCCGTCCCGCAGGACACAGCGGCTCGCTCGGCCGCCACCGCGGAGATCGCTGCCCCCGCGCACCGAAAGTCACAGCACTTTGCAGGACGCCCCCCCGAGCTTCCTCCAGCCCGCCAGGGGTAACGAGCCCCCACCCCCCAGGCCACCGCGGCCACGTCCTTACCCGCTTCCCGCCCCGTGGGGGCGCCTGCCGCAGGCCAGAGTACAGACCGTCCGCAGCCAGCTCAACGGCTACCCCTGCGGGGCGCATCTAACATGGCGGAGAGAGACGGGGCCCAGTCCCTTGTTGCCTCTGAGTTCTTCTCGAGGCGATTGGCTCCTATGGCTTGTCCTTCAAAACTATCTCCACATTTATTGGTCGAGGATGCGCCGGTGGGGGCGGGGCATAGACAGCTGACCCTCACAACAATAACAAACCCAAGGGTGGAGGGGCGAAACTCGTAGTGCGCAGGCGCAGGCCGAAGCGCCTTCCCTTCCCTGGCAAATTCCGCCCCCTCTGCGTTCCCGGAGGTCCGCGACCTTGGAGGACTGTGCCGAGATTCGCGGGGCTCGATGGGAACCGTAGTCTTTCTAGGGTTTGTACGTTATTTAGCCTAGCCTCTGCTAATAAGAAACGAAAACACAATAGTCCAACCCATACCATATCGATGTGGATTCCCACAAGGAGGTCTTCAATCTACCAAATGGGTTGTGGTGGAAATCGTGTTTGTTTCCAGAGTCAGAAGCTCATCTTCCTAGGACTACAGTGTCTTAAGGAACACAGTGCCGGAAAAAAAAAAAAAAATCCTTTTGTTCCGCAATGCATTTCGGAAGGTGTAGTTTTGTCCCTCATGACCCTTTTATTTGCCCACGCTGCAGACTTCCATTGCAGCAGAACGAGTTGGGAGATGGAGCCCCTTGTTGAGGATGCGTCGGGCAATATTCTGCGCTCACATTTGGACCTCTGTTAGCCCTTGAACAAAACTCTCCGACGTAAAAAACCGGAACGGGAAGCCGCGGGGGGGGCGGTGCCTTGCGTCTCCTGTTACGTCACGCACGGAAAGACTGGGCGACCAATCCCGAGCCTAGAACACGCTCGGCACTCCCTGCCCCACCCTTCCGTGACGCGCTCATTCTCGCATTCTGAGAGGCTAACGCTCGCGGCCGCTGCTGGTTGCCGTGGTGACAGAAAGCGCGGGAATTACAGATAAGTTGGAACTGCGGCGCGGCGTGAGTTCTCAGAGACTTTCCGGGCGGAACACAGCCGTGGTTTTTCTCAGATAACTGGGACCCCGGGCGTGGGGAACCCGGACGCTGTGCTCACGGTAAAGCTGGAGGCCCCCGGGGAAGGGACAGGTGACCGGTGGGCGCTGCTGGTGACCGGCGGGAAGCCGGCGGGTGTCCCCGCGCGGTGGGGGCGGGGCGGGCGGGCGGAACCTCGGGGCGGGTGGGGTCAGTCTGTGGATTGCGGGGCCTCGCGCATCCGGGGCCGCGGACCCTGTGTTCCGGCCGGAATCCTGGAGATGGGAACTGGAACGCGGCTTGCGGGGCGCAGGAAAGCGGGCAGGGAGGGCAGGAGGGGCCCTAGGGGGCGGGAATCCTTGACAACAGGGTCGAATCCTCCGGGGGCTGAGGCAGGAGGGTCGCGAGTTCGCGGCCAGCCTGGGCTGCCTAACGGGTTCGGAGCAGAAGTGGCTCCGTGGGCGTCCCGGGGGGCTGGGCAGCAGCGAGGGGCGCGGGCGGGGCGAGTCGGGGGCGGGAAGCGTTTCCGTGTGGCCCGGGCGCCCTCCGCACGCCGCAGCTTCCGGAGCAGCCCGGGCTGTTGGCGGACGCCGCGCCCTGCTTGGCGCTGGTTCGCAGTACCCTGCCTACCCTAGCCAGTAGGTGCTGTGCGCAGTACTTAATTCTGCTCTGCCCCAGTTCTTGGTCTCCTTCCCTTTGGCAAAGTTTTTTCGTCACTTTTCTCCTTCAGTTCTTTTTTTCCCCATCCCTACTTCCTGTCCTCCCTCCTCCCCACTTGTTTTTTTT